CGGGCCGGACCCCGGACCACCAGGCTCCTGCTCCGGCCGCGCCCCCCGCAGCACTCTTGGTCGCCCGCGACCCGGCGCGCACACCTTCCCTCACCACCGCCCGGGTGCCGCATCAGCCCCAGTGGAGGCGCCGGCGCCTCGCCATCCCCGCCACGGTCCCCGCCATCCTCGCAGGACGCCGCGTACCTGCCACACCGCCGCCGCCCGGTCCAGCCGCCCAGCCCGCACTCCGCGCCGGCCACTTCTGGCGCCGGCTTACTCTCCTTTTTCTTCCGTCCACGTCCCGCAAGATGACGCTACGTCAGCAGCGTTGGAGTAAGCCCAGGCCGCGGGGCCTCCGCCGTTGACGCGAGGCGAGAGGCCGGCCCCGAGCTGCGCCGCGACAATGGCGTAGACACCTTCCGAGAATCGGGTTCGCGCTCCACGTGGCGAGCCCCGCCCGCCGAGGCCCGGGCTGACTCTGGGAGGCGGGGCTCCAGCGCTCGTGGTGAACGTCCACGTCCCAGGAGCGGACAGGGACAGGGGCTAAAGAGAGTGTCCAAGAGCCGCCCATCGGACGTTCCTGGGAGGCAGAAAAGATGCCCGGATCCTTCAATAGCTGGTAGATCCCACACTGTGTTTGTCAGTGTTGGCCATTATATCCAAGGCACACCTGAGAACTAGGTTGGGTCAATTTGCACATATTTGAGGATCCCACACTCCAGACAAACGTGTGTTTAAATGAGAATATTTTCAGACTGCGATAAAATGATTTGCCCCCTAGTCGCCTGGAGGTTTCCCCAAGAGTCCCAGGCCACCTTTCCTTCAGTAAGGGCATTGGTGAGAATACTATATAAAAAGAGTTGTATTTAATACCTGACAATTGGAACTATTCCAAAGGCGAATGTGGATCCACCCTTAAAATTCGAACTCAGACTCTCTCCCTCTTTCCTACTTGCTGTGTTTTCTTCAAAGGGCATGTTCCTGCATAGGCACAGACCTAATGCTGGGCACGCTGGGCATGTGGCGGGGTGGGGTGGGCAGAGCACTTGAGTGGAGGTGGGTTGCGAGGAAGGCATCCTGCCCCTTGTGTAGTAGTCCCTAATAACATCGCTGAGCCTGTTTATTCATTCCCTCATTCGTTAAACTCTGGCTGTTTATGTACCAGGCATTCCTTAGGTTTGGAGGAAGACATAGTCCCGTCCCTAGATGAGTTTATAGCCTTGTGGGGAGAGACAGATATGTGAGCAAATGATTACAACACAATGTGATTGATGCTAGAGGAGGAGGTCCCCAGGAATTCAGGCCAGGCTTTAAAAAGAGTAGATATTAGAATTGTGCTTTTTTTGATAGTTCGTTAATTTTTAAAAATAATTTATTCCATATATTTATTTCTTAAATAAGCAGTTTTCCTATATTTTTGTTATTTTTGTCTTAGTTTTCCTAAGTTAGTTTTTTTCATTGTTTAAGTAACTTGATAGTCAGCTTTATTATTGGGGGGAGGTAACTAGGTTTATTTATTTGTTTGTTTTTTGATGGCGGTACTGAGGATTGAACCGAGGACCTCGAATTGTGCTTTGAAGGACAGGAAGTAAGTAGTTCACCTAGAAGAGGTGAGCAGAATCACAGGAGGAAGAGGGAATGGAATATGCAGAGGCATGAGACACCTTATGAAGAGAGGCTGCATGTGGAACACAACAGGAGAGGTGTGTTTGGTGAGGTGGAGGTGGGGGGCACTTTGCAAAATTTCTGTGCCATGTTAAAGGTTTGAATTTTATCTATCCTCAAAGATAGAGAACCATGACTTTTTAATTTTACTTTTTAAATTATTTCATTTTTAAAATTGAAATATAGTTGATTTACAATGTTGTATTCGTTTCTGGTGTACAGCATAGTGATTCAGTGAGATATATATATATTATATATATATACACACATATATATATATATATTCTTTTTCATTAGAGGTTATTACAAGATACTGAACATAGTTCCCTGCGCTATACAGTAGGACCTTGTTGTTTATCTGTTTTATGTGTATCTGCAAACTCCAAACTCCTAATTTATCCTTCCCTTCCTTCTCCTTTGATAACCATAAGTTTGCTTTCTACTTCTGTGAGTCTGTTTCTGCTTTGTAAATAAGTTCATCTTTTTCATTTTTTAGATTCCACATCTAAGTGATATCACATATTTGTCTTTCTGTCTCACTTCACTTAGTATGATAATCTCTAGGTCCATCCATGTTGCTGCAAATGGCATTATTTCATCCTTTTTTATTGGCTCAGTAGTATTCCTGTGTGTGTGTGTGTGTGTGTG